GATCCCTCCTCCTCAGCCACTTAGAATGCCTGGGACTCAGGGTCAATTTTGCCAAGAGCGCGCTGTCCCCCAGCCAATGGATATTGTTCCTGGGAACAGTTTTAGACTCAGCCCAAATGAGGGCGGTAGCCGCGCCAGAACGTGCGCTGGCCATTCAGCAGCTCGTGGCCTCATTCAGAGTTGGAGCCTCTCGCCCCCTCAAGGTGTTTCAGAGGATGCTAGGCCTCATGGCCTCAGTGTCTCCAGTACTACAGTTGGGCCTGCTCCGCATGCGTCGTTTCAGTATTGGCTGAAACCACGAGTTCCATCCTGCGCCTGGTGTCTGGGATGCCTTCGCGTAGAGGTAGACCGTATCAGTGTATCAGCCCTGGACCCTTGGAAAGATCCTCGTTGGATGGAACGGGGCGTGCCCCTGCGAATGGTCTGCAGAAGGAAGGTAGTCTCGACAGACGCCTCCAACACGGGTTGGGGAGTGCTGTGCGATGGCAAGCCAACTTTCGGCCACTGGTTGAAAGAGGAAGGCCGGCTTCACATCAACTGCCTGGAAATGCTGGCAGTGTGTCTGGGACTTCGAACCTTTCTGCCAGACCTAAGGGGACACCACGTCTTAGTCCGCTTGGACAGCATGACGGTATTGTCCTATAAAAATTGCCAGGGCGGTCTCTCCTCGAAGCGCCTGTTCGCACTAGTGGAGCGCCTCTTGGAATGGGCTCAGCTCAACTTGCGCTCGCTGAGAGCAGTGCATATACCGGGCAGGCTGAACCAAGGAGTAGACATGTTGTATCGGAGCAACGTCCCCTCTGAGGAGTGGATGCTCCACCCTCAACCGGTTCAGAAAATCTGGGAGATCTTCGGCAGGGCAGAGGTCGATCTCTTCGCCTCAGAAGACAACTCTCATTGCCCAACTTACTTTTCAAAGGACAGGGACGCGTTGGCCTATGACTGGCCCAACCTCCTCCTTTACGCTTTTCCCCCGATCGCTCTGATCCCACAGGTGATCAGGCGAGTCAGGGAACAGAGACACAAGGTGCTGTTGGTTGCCCCCCTCTGGAGGATCCAGCACTGGTTTGCAGAGCTGTGCCGGCTGCTCTCGGCAGCCCCGTGGCCCATTCCCCTGAGACGGGACCTCCTCTCACATGCGAACGTAGTGATATGGCACCCCCAGCCCAAGCTGTGGGCTCTGCACCTTTGGCTTCTCAATGGGAACCTCCCCGAGAACGTGCTAAACACAATCTCTCAGGCTAGAGCACCGTCTACAAGATGCCTCTACGCCTTAAATGGTCTGTCTTCTCCGCCTGGTGTACAGCCCGTGGCGCAGACCCAATCTCTTGTGACATATCTCTGATATTGTCCATCCTGCAAGAGCTGTTGGATAAGGGCCGTTCCCCTTCCACGCTCTAGGTCTATGTAGCAGCCATAGCAGCTTCTCACGCTCCTATAGCTGGCCAATCGGTGGGCAGGAACAACTTGGTTGTTCATTTTCTGAAGCTGTCTAGAAGGCTCAAGCCGCCTCGCCCCATCACTGTCCCTACATGGGATCTGCCCACGTTGTTGAGGGCTCTGAAGAGCCCTCTATTTGAGCCGCTACAGTCCATTGACCTTCGTCCCTTGACGCTTAAGATTGCTCTGCTTCTAGCATTAGCATCGGTAAAGCATATGGGAGATCTGCAGGCGCTATCAGTGAGCCCCACCTGCCTCGAATTCGGGCCCAATGACTCTAAGGTCGTCCTGAAACCAAGGCATGGCTGTGTACCAAAAGTGCTCTCTACTCCATTTAAAGCACAGGTAATAACTCTATCGGCGCTTCCTCCATCGGAGCAAGACCAAGAGTTGAACTTACTCTGCCCCGTCAGGACACTGAAAGTCTATGTTGAGCTTTCCGCCCCGTTCAGGTGGTCGGATCAGCTGTTCGTGTGTTTCGGTGGCCGCACCAAGTGTTGTCCGGTTACGAAGCAGAGACTTTCCAAATGGACAATCGACGCTATTGACGCTTCTTTGGGCCTTCAATGCACTATGGGCGTAAGAGCCCACTCAACCAGAGGTGTTGCTTCTTCCTGGGCTTGGTCTAGTGGTGTGTCCATTGCAGAAATTTGTGCGGCGGCCGGCTGGGCCTCGCCGTCCACATTTGCCAGATTCTATAGTCTAGACATCCCGGCCTTACAGGCCTGGGTCCTTTCTGCATAGCAGGACACTCTGTCATATGACAACCAGTGCTTGGCGTTTGCCGCCTTCATGTACGCTCTTGGCCCTCAGTGAGTTCTGAGGCTGTACTGAATTATTTCGGGACGATGATACAAGGCTGGGCCGACCTCTTTGAGCTTAGCCCTACTGCCTTTTGCGGGGCTTCCCTCGAAGTAACCTGAGGATCCTATGGCGATGTGCCGCTTATATAGCCGAGGACCCCACCCATTCTGGTAGGCTTTGGTGGGCTTAACCGCCATAGGCTCATGCAGCTCTGCTGCCGAGCCATTGGTTCGTTTTTTATTCACTGCACGAACCAATGGCCGTGCAGTTACATTGCGTTATTGAAAGGCTTCAGTCATTGGAGAAAAAGGAGTTTTCCCCAAGCGTCTTAAACAGACGCAGTACTCGTTCCGTATATCAGGGAACCAAGGTTACGTTAGTAACCGAGTATGTTATTATCATCAACTAATTAAGTTTTTGCTTATTAAAGAGGTCATATGATGCTGCTAAAAAGAACATTATTTCGTGTATTTGGTGTAATGACGTGTTTATGCGGTTTAAAGTAAAAAAAAACACTAAGAGTGAGCTGAGGCGGCGGGGTCGAGAACGGCGGTCCCGGCGAAGGAGCGATGAAAACGGTGAAAGCTGATCCGGTGATCCACAACACTAAGTTGAAGTATTCACTCAGCGACCAGCACGGATCAGCTCTAGACATGACGAAGCGGATAGCGTCCGGGAACATTTGGGCGGCATTATGCAAATATTCCCACATAGTGAGGTAGATATGTGGGGGGCGTGTTCGAACGAGCCGTTTTAGGTAGGTGTGGCTGACTCTTAACTTTTATAAAGAATATCTCTTTGGATTTGAGACTTTAGTCTTTGCAAATTTACAGATCTTCTTTATGCACCAAGAGCTTGTAACACTCCAAAGAGAAAGGAAAAAATGAAATCGCATCATATGACCCCTTTAATATATTTGTGGGAACCATTATACATTTATACTACCATTCAAAAGTTTGGGTTAATATTATATTTTCACAATATGATGTTTTTACAGTATTTTGATAAAACAATTTCAGTTTTGGTTTTTATAAGAGACTTGGCAAATGGTAGCAACACTTTGCTAAGTGCTAAAGCATGCTATTAATGCAGTGAAAGAGGAAGTTACTGTAACTCAGGCATGCAGTGTCCAATCTGCCCCAAACTTAAAAAAGTTTTATAAGAGTCCTGTCCTGAACACATCTACATGCCCGTATTCGGTTATAGTCATAGTGCCACCTGCTGACAACAGGAAGTGACATGTTTATCACTGTTGTAGACTCCTAGCAACATATTAAAAAGCGTCAGCAAGTGTTACATAGGCTGGCAACATGAAAAAGTTTTATAAGAGTCCTGTCCTGAACACATCTACATGCCCGTATTCGGTTATAGTCATAGTGCCACCTGCTGACAACAGGAAGTGACATGTTTATCACTGTTGTAGACTCCTAGCAACATATTAAAAAGCGTCAGCAAGTGTTACATAGGCTGGCAACATGCTAGAAACTTGAAAAAAACATGCTAGTAACACTTAGCTAAGGGTTAAAGGATGCTATTAATGCTGTGAAACAGGAAGTTGATGTAACTCAGGCATGCAGTGTCCAATCTGTCCGAAACTTAAGTCCTGGCCCTATCATCAAACACATCTACATGCAAAGATTCAGTTATAGTCATAGTGCCACCTGCTGGCAACAGGAAGTGACATGTTTATCACTGTTGTAGACTCCTAGCAACATATTAAAAAGCGTCAGCAAGTGTTACATAGGCTGGCAACATGCTAGAAACTTGAAAAAAACATGCTAGTAACACTTAGCTAAGGGTTAAAGGATGCTATTAATGCTGTGAAACAGGAAGTTGATGTAACTCAGGCATGCAGTGTCCAATCTGTCCGAAACTTAAGTCCTGGCCCTATCATCAAACACATCTACATGCAAAGATTCAGTTATAGTCATAGTGCCACCTACTGTCAATAGGAAGTGACATGTTTAACACTGTGATGCACTATTAGCAACAACGTAAAATATGCCATTGTGTGCTAAATATGCTAGAAATATGCTCAAACATGCTAGCAACACTTACTAAGTGCTAAAGCATGCTATTAATTCCATGAAACAGGAAGTTGTTGTAACTCATGCATGCAATCCCTAATCTGCTCCAAACTTCACACGTTTTATAAAAGCCCTGGCCTGAACACATCTAAAGGCCAATATTCAGTTATAATTATAGCGCCACCTACTGGCAACAGGAAATTACTTTGTATACACTAACTTAAACATGCAATGTCCGATCTGCACCAAACATCACGTGTTTGGTAAGAATACTGGCCTGAAGACATCTACACGTCAATGTTTATTTATGATCATAGCGCCACCTGTTGGCAACAGGATATGTCATGCTTTACACTAACTCAAACATATCATGTTCAATCTGCACCAGACTTCACATGTTTGATAAAGGTCCTGGCCTGAAGACATCTACATGCCAACATTGAGTTATAATTATAGCGCCACCAGCTGGCAGCAGGAAGTTTGGCACATATAAATGACTTTGACATATTCCTCCTATATTTACCACTTTAAATGCATATTGCCCACCATTTGCTGTTTTGACATAACCATCCTCTCATTTCACACATGCACCGACTCACCGCTGCTCCTTGTTGCTATGGTTACTTGGAGTAGGTTGCCGAGTGAGGATGGTTCCGTCATCAGCAGCGAATCAGTGAAAGAGGTCTCAGGAAAGGGCTCGAGTGTGCAAAAAACTACAGCACAGCAGAAACTCACGAAGGAAGAGACGAGGAAGAGTAATGGTGAGAAATGCCTCCACAGATTCAGCACTTTCGCACTTGTGCTGTCAGGCCACAAGACATCCATGAAATGTCCTATTCTCATAAAGAAAATACAATCACTCTTTTCCAAAAGCCTAATGAGCTGCCTCCATAAACATTTGAAGGGTGTTGTGCTCTTGACAAATTAAGGTAGGATTCCAAAATGTAGGAATAATTGTGCTAACTCTCCAAAAATACTCAAAATTAAATAATTAATTAATTGTATTTATATATTTATTGGGGAGGGGGGATGCATCTACAATGTCCATTGTAGAGCATGCCGTCCCACAATGCATTGCACCAAGCTCTTTGGAAATAATAAATCCTTGATGGTGGGCAAAGTGAACAAATGTTGATTTAAAAATATACACTTTTCCAATGTAAATCTGGTGAAAAATGGAAATGCAGTACGCCCTAATTTAGATTAATAGGGATAAAAATCAGTTTCCCCCACTTGTTTTTACATTACCTTACATAAACCTTATGGAACAATCCATCCACATCAACAACGTGTGTATATCAGTCTGCATCAGTTCAGCAACAAATAAATCACATTGTGAACACATCTGTTCATCTTTAACAGGTGCAGGGGGAAGTGTGGAGCAGTGTACCAAATTAGTTGGAGTATAAATCTTTTAGTTTAAACATGCTCATGTGTATAGCCTGTAAGTCTTTCTGTTGTGTTTATTTTGAGAATCGACATAGATTTCTTTTCTTCTCCTGATTTTCTCCTCAACTCGCAGTATTCTAAATCAACATTCAAACACATTAAATGCAACATTAAAGTAATTTTAAGATAACATGTGTGTACTTGGAGCCTGCCAATCAACATTAGAGCACTACCCTCAGGCTAAATTACGCAAACACACTAGGCATTCCCAAAAGCTATATGTGCAGCTTATGAGTGGTTAATCATAATTATGTATTAATTATATAGCTTAAGCGGACCCACTTTATATGAAGTGTCTTAAAACTACTATGCACTGACATTTAAATAAATAATTTGATAAAATTAACTTATTGTGTGCTTACATGTTTTTACATTGGGCACACATTCTAAAATACCTGCATGAAAATCTGCAGTTAGTTTCTGTGATTACATAATTACACTACATTTACCCCTTAAACTAACCAAACCACTAAACCTGTCCCTAACTTTAATCTTATTGCACCTCAATAACAGTAAAATGCTTTGCAGTACAACATGAACACAATAAGTACATTGTACCAAACAAACAGCAAGTATAGTAGTGAAAGACACCTAATATAAAGTGGGACCGTAATCTAGTTCTGTGACCCAGAATCTGCTCTACCTAAATTTATAGTCAGGAGCCGCTTATAATTATATGCATCGTAAATACGTAAATTAAATAATATTTTCACAATTTTTGCATAATTTAGCAATTTAACAAAACACACAAGTGATATTTACTTTTACACATCAAATATTTATTGTCGGCGAACTCTGCAAACTTTTTACTGACACTGTTAATTTCATATCAAATTATGACCAGAAGTATAATGTACAAAATTGCTAAAATAACATTGTCAATAACATATTGACTGGCATCTTCTATGTGTTTCCTTACGGAGTCAGTTATGTTACCAGTTGTTCCTTTCTTACACTGAGGGACAATATAAAATGTATTCACTGTATTCAACATATATAAGAAGTATAATTAGTCCCCACTAGCTTTTAAGTCAGTGTGTGTTGGGTGCAATGTGAGGTTGTATGGCGTCTTCTTGCATTGAAAATGAGTTTTTAACTAAGGCCCTTTTTACCAGATGACCATTCTCAGAAGGAAAATAGTGACCGAGTTCATGAATATGAATGAAACCCTCTCTTCTGACATAATCCGGTCTGTCACTGTGGCTACCAGCATCGCTGAGGAGCAACAGGGTCATACGCACATTTTTGCAGACACATGCATCCCAAAAGCCATACTGACAGACGGAAATAAAGGCACACCCATTTAAACCTAACTTAAATATTTTATAACCTTGTGCTTGGCAGAGCTCATACTGGTCTGGATAACACAGACTTGCCAATATACAACCCTCAACACCACACACACATGTAAATAAGCACGTCCCTCACAATAACAACATAATGTGCCATATGTTCAAGTCTGTCTCGGGTTACTTGACTGTAACCCTGTTCCCTGAAAAAGCGGGAACGAGATGCTGTGTTTCAATAACGCTAATGAGAACATTCTTTGTTCGACTGGTTGTGAAGCATGTGTGTCAAACACGCCAAGAATTGACTTAAATAACCTTGGCAGGTGACGTAATTTGATTACGTGCACCTGAGGGTTATAAATAGAAGTGAAACAGACACATCTTCAGGTTACACCTTTGTCCGAAGAAACGTCCAGGCACGCCTACAGTGCGGCATTGAGGCGCAGCATCTCGTTCCCACTTTTTCAGGGAACAAGGTTACAGTCAAATAACCCGAGACATTTCCTATCAAAAGCTACTCTCGATGCTGCATTTCTATAACGCTAATTGGAATGAGAATACCAACGCGACCGCACTGGAAGTGTCTGGACCCCCCAAGGTTGTGTAGTCTGTGTGTACAAACATTGAAGAGGCCTCAGACATGACTCTGGGATGTTGACTCAAGGACATGCAAGCCCGGAGTAGCATAAACATCCAAACTATCGCAGTTGACAAATGTGTGCAGAGAGGACCAGAATGCCGCACCTCGCGCTTGCTGCAAGGGGACAACTCTTTCTAGAGCCTTAGTATAGGATGCAACCCACCTGGTTGAATGGAGCCTAACTCCTAGAGGGGAAGCTTGAACATGTGCCTCATAGGCTAGGGCAATAGCATCTCTCACCTAATGGCATAGCATATGAAAAGCTGCTCTGACTTATGCCACTGGCTAGTGTGGTGGATGTAAATCTGAAGAGCATGTCCTGGACAGAATAAGTGAAGTCCTTCCTGCTCCAGTGTCATGGAGGGCAAAAGGCTTTAACAATGATCAGATGCATGTTCGAGAATGGAACTTTGAAAGATAATAGGGTGAGGATGCAAAATAGCTTTGACCAGCCCAGGGGCAAAGTCTAAGCAGGATGAAGAGACCGACAGAGCCTACAATCCCCAATTCTCCTCAGAGAATAGCCATGAGAAAAAAAATATCTTCAGAGTCAGAAACCTGACAGGTGCCAACTCTAGTGGTTCAAAAATTAGTCCCAACCTGATCCTTTGAGCACTAAGGCTAAGTCCCACGAAGGGACTGTCTCTCTGGTGGGCGGCCTCAACCGCTGAGCTCCACGAATGAAGCAGGCGACGAGAAGGTGCTTTCCCACAGAAACCCCATCAATCTATATCTATGTGGTAGGCTAAACTGGCGGCCACATAGACTCTGAAAGTACCAGGACATATACTTGAGGACAGTTTTTTCTTGCAGGAACTCCAGCACTGAAACAACCTGGCATTGAACTGGGTCTGCATGGTTCGCACCATCTGAGGGTATAACTTCTTCTAGTGGAGGGAGACCTAGCACTCAGAATAGTCTGTACTACATTGGCTGGAAGCCCAGCATCTCTCGTTGGTCCTCCTCGGGGCCAGAGATGAAGGTTCCAGAGCCGGGGATGAAAAAACTGTCCCCTGTGCCTGAGATACAAGATCTCTCCCAACCGGAATCGCCCACGGCGAGTCGTCAAGGAGGGATATTAGATCTGAGAACCATACTCTGGTTGGCCATCATGGCGCTATCAGTAAGAAGCAAGACCCATGTTGACCGACCTAGGCCAGGACTACCGGGAGCAGAGCGATCGGAGGAAATGTGTAAAGATGCAGTCTGGGCCATATATGGGCCATAGCGTCCAGATTGTACTGTTTCCTGTGAAGCAAAGAAGTCCACCTCCACTTTGAAAATGTGTCTGACTACCTTAGGGTGGAGTTTCTATTCCCTGTGTTTCCCAGCTTGTCTGGACAGCAAATCTGCTCCCACATTCATATGCCCCAGAATGTGAATTTCCATGATGTTCCGTGTCCAAAGAAGGAACCTGCTGCGCTAGCCTGATCAGGCGGCGCAAATGTATTCTGCCCTGGCGGCTTATGTAAGTGACTACCACAGCCTTGCCCTCCCGCACTAGGATGTGGTAGCCCCTGCTGGAGGATGTATTTCAGGGCCGAAATACAGCCATCATTCCGAGGAAATTGATGTGCCAGTCGAGGCGATGACCTCTCCAGATCCCTTGGGCTGGACGGTCATTTAAGACCGCTCCCCAGCCCATAAGGGAAGCGTCTGTCGTTAGCATCTCGTGACAACAACATGTGATTAGAGTGGGACCCAAAGTCAGAAACCGGAGTCTGAACCACATGGAGTGTGTATGAAGTCCTTAGCACATAACCCTTATATGCCTCTGGGGATTGTCTGTACTACATTGGCTGGAAGCCCAGCATCTCTCGTTGGTCCTCCTCAGGGGCCAGAGATGAAGGTTCCAGAGCCGGGGATGAAAAAACTGTCCCCTGTGCCTGAGATACAAGATCTCTCCCAACCGGAATCGCCCACGGCGAGTCGTCAAGGAGGGATATTAGATCTGAGAACCATACTCTGGTTGGCCATCATGGCGCTATCAGTAAGAAGCAAGACCCATGTTGACCGATCTAGGCCAGGACTACCGGGAGCAGAGCGATCGGAGGAAATGTGTAAAGATGCAGTCTGGGCCACATATGGGCCATAGCGTCCAGATTGTACTGTTTCCTGTGAAGCAAAGAAGTCCACCTCCACTTTGAAAATGTGTCTGACTACCTTAGGGTGGAGTTTCTATTCCCTGTGTTTCCCAGCTTGTCTGGACAGCAAATCTGCTCCCACATTCATATGCCCCAGAATGTGAATTTCCATGATGTTCCGTGTCCAAAGAAGGAACCTGCTGCGCTAGCCTGATCAGGCGGCGCAAATGTATTCTGCCCTGGCGGCTTATGTAAGTGACTACCACAGCCTTGCCCTCCCGCACTAGGATGTGGTAGCC